GGGCAGATGCAGACGGCTCTGGCCCATCTGTCCCTAAAGGCCTGGGACTGTGCTCGCGTGCTCCACTAGGGTACCCGAAACCTGGGAGCTCTCCGGCGCGCCCGGCCTCGGGTATCTGGGGCTCTTTGTCTCCCGACAGCACTAATCCTGAGAACAACGCGCACCGAAGGCGGAGGCCCCTGTGCTTTGGACAAGCCCGCCACGGGCAAGCCAGTTCGAATGTTTTCAATAAAATGCTTCCTGGGGAAAAAAGAGAGGATCGCAAAAGAATTTCTCTTCAGAAGTTAATCTATTTTCAGCAGCGGTTAAGCGCGGCACCAAGTAAATCAGATTCTAAATGTTCCTTTGGAAAGAAGGAAGAAAACAAGAAAGGAAGCGAGGAAGGAAGGCAGGCAGGAGGGAAGAATGAGGGAGGGAGGCAATAGGGAAGGACATTCCTTAAACCATAAAGTTAGTTTGTTTTAGGGTTGGTTTTTATTTTCCGAAAAAAAAAAAAAAAAATGTCAGGAGGAGCGGGGTGCCCAGTGCGTGTTTCCCCAAAGTCGGGAGCCGTGAGCAAGCCTGCTCCCTCCAAGCTGCTCAGCTCCTGGGGAGACGGCATACACAGGGCGACGTGTTATGTATTGCAACCAGATGAGAAAATAATCACGGTTTTAAAAATAATAGTGCTCCTTGTCATCCAGAACCAAGATATGCATGCCACCGCGGCTGAAATTAGAACACCTTTGTGGAGCGGAAATGCTTGCCTTTTTCTTCTGTGGTGCAAATGCGTGAGCTTTTTGCGCAAGAAAGGGATATTCTTCTGAGGTTGACTACACCGCGAGAAGGCATCTGCTAAGTTATTTGTCCTAAAGTGAGGACGATTTCTGACTTTTTTTTTTTAAAAAAAAAATGTTTTTTAAAGCAAAAGTCATCATTACAATGTTTCGGGCTAATGACCATAAAATGGCCACAGGGAAGGGGCAGGAGGAGAGGCTCCGCTCTATCCGCGCCAGTCATATTTAATATGCTTTCCGTAAGAGAAGCTTCTGTAAAATCAATAGACAAGCGCCAGCTGTGCTTAAACCTGCGATTTCAATTAAAACACTGCGCTCCAGTCCTTGAGGTTGGGCCCGGATCCCCAGTCAGTGGTGTGCCGGTCTCTTGGCCAGGGCGCAGCGTCGCACCGCCGCGGATCCCAGAGGTCGCCGCCCGGGTCAGGCCCCGCAGAGCCGCGGACGCGCCGGGTCTCTGCGCCCTGCTCTTCGGCGTGGGAAGGACACAGGCCGCCGAGGGGCTTCAGGCCTAACTCTGGTTTTGTGTTTCCCTGCCGCCGCTGGGAGGTTGAGGCCCGAGTTAGGGCCAGATGGCAAAGAAGCCAAAGCGTCCGGCTCTAGGCTGAGGCTCTCCGAATGAAATAGGCCTGGGGCTGAGGCTTCGGGCTGGGGAAGGCGCCAACGTGGATTCAGGCCCAGGGGGCCGTGCGTGATGAGCTGCAGCCCACCCCGTGCAGCGCAGCGGGCGGCCAAGGGCCTGGGCGCCCGGGGATTGCCCCAGCGCATCCCAGGACTCCCGCCCTGGAGCAGAGCACGCGCTGCGGCCTAGTAGGCCTTGCTTGGGCCGCCACCGCGTGCCTCCGGGTCAGGTTTCCTGCTGGGTCCTCCTCTTGACCCGAAGGCACCAACACCTCCAACGTGGAGCTTGTGTACCAGTTTGCGTTGGGAGAGACTGGGACTTGCAGAATGTCACCATAGACTCAGCCCACTTCTACTGGAAAGTCATGCTTTGAGGGACAGACTTCTTGGGAAGGGAGGGAGGGATAAGATCATTTTATTTTCCGTAAATGAATCCACAACCCTGAAACATCTGCTTAGCCCTGGAGCTCCGTGTTCCCCTTCATGTCGAGTTATTTTGGATTTTCCTTTACTGAAAATGTGTAGATAGAAAAGTCATCCCAATCCCACAGAACCCTTCCATCAACTCCCTAAAATTGTGAAATTTTAATTTCTATAGTTGTCCCTCTACAAAAAAAAAAAAAAAGAAAGAAAGAAAGAAAGAAAACTCAGTTCAGCCTCAAAGCAAACAACAACAACAAAAAAGATGCTGCATATAAGAATGAATTTGGAGGATTTGGGGACAGCGAATGGAAATCTCAGCACTCCCTCCACCATTCGCTGCATTTCCCCAGTCCTCTATTATTCTGCCTGAAATCATCTCGTTTACAGAAAATATTTGTTTGCACTATTAGTTGGTACTGGAGTTAATTACTCAATGTGTTAACGTGAAGTAATATGTATAAAAGTAGGATCAGTGTTTATTGTGTGGGTGAGCTGTTGAGCGGTGCTTGAATAAACTGCAATTAGGGTTAGATAGAGATTAATTAACATGTGAGTGGCAAGGTGTAAAATAGTTTCCAACCCTCCACTTCAATATAATCTGCAGGCGAGGGAAGGAGAAGTTTGTGGAAGCTAATTAAATACTTTCATAAAAGCCAGTGTATTCACCCAACATTTGGAAAGAGAGGCACATTAGGGGCAACTTGTTTTTACCCAAATGTTTTCTTTCTGTGGAGGTAGCACTCCTTTGTAATGGCGGAGAGAGAGAGATGGCTTATGCAGCCACAGAAAAGCGACAGAAATGGCAAGGCAGGTTCATGGGAAGCCCTTGGAAGCCTTTCAGCCTGATGGAGCTTTCAAACCAGCAGATCTTTCGAGCTGCTGCGGAGAGCAACAATTACTCAATTTGGAAAAAAAGGCTGGGGTGCAGTACTGGTGGCAAACGGCATCCACAGGAGATTCGGGATAGAAATTCAGGTTTTGAGATGCTGCAGGTGTATTGATATTGTTTCAATGTTGGGGTGAGTTGGTTTGTTTCATGTTTGGTGGGAGGAGGGAGTAACCTGTGCTCTTGTGTTCACATTGACACAGGGATGGGGGTACCCTGGGTATGCAATTCTGTCTCTCTGAACATCTTCTAAAGTGTGGGGTATATGGAAATGTTCTCCAGAAGAGCAAGCCTCTTGGCTTAGAAATTTGGAAGTCTGGGGAGGGGGTGGGAGGGTGACATTAAGGGAACAGACTTATGATTGCGGAATTTGGGGGCAGTTTCAGAGTTTGGCAAGGTGAGAGCATTAGCCTATTGCAGTCCACCCCCAGGCCACTTTCCTTCGGGGACCTCTGTCTGTTCCCTCTCTTTTCTTTCCAAGTACACCTTTCCTTTTCCTTACCTGCTATGTCCAAATCCTGTCTAAAATTGAACCTCAAAGAAGCTGCAACTGGATGGGTGAGTAGAAGGCAAGAGAAGTTCTGAAGGGAAAAAGGGAGTGATTTGCCTGAAGTTAAAACTAGAGCTTTTCTGCCTCGTCCCTTGGCGTTCTCCAGGGATGTTTCCCAGCACTCCGGAGGGGCCTAGGAGGGGGTACTCAGCCCCCTCAAGACTTGTTCCTCGGTGAAGAAACAGGTTTACCTCTACCACCACTTTCTCTGGCTTCACTTGATCGTGTGTCTTTGGAGATGGAATTCACTATCAAACCCTGTTTGCTCATATTATACCCACCGTAATCCTCTTAAACTGTGGTTGCGGCTACAAAGCTCGTGGTCTTGCAAAAGCTGACTGGCAAGATATAATTGTCCCGCGAACAAAACCGGCCAAAAGTTTTCAAAAAACCCCTGCACCCTCACCTCCCCCTTTCCTAAACCTAATTCTCTCGCTCGCTCTCTTGCTAGCCATCCTCCCCCCTCATAAGAACCCTCAGCCTCAACCACTTTTGTTGTCGCCAAGAGCACCCGGCCTGTTGAAAGTGCTGGAGCGTCTTTGAGCAGTTTGTTGTGATACGCAGGTGGAATGGTCTGCAAACAGATGAATTCAGCCCCTCCAAACCAAGCGCGGAGCGCTCTGCTTTTGTGCGCCAGGCACAAAACGCTGAATTCCTCCGAACTTACTTGGGGCCTGTCTAGAAAAGGGTCTTTTCTTCCCTCTGCTTGTACCTCTGGCCACACTAAGTCTCTGCCCGCCCCCCTTCAGGCCCCCTCCCTCTCTTCTCTGATAATCCTTCTCTTTATTTTAGAAAAACACAAAACCCGGTTCCACGCGGTGCTTTAGTGGCTAAAAGTGAAAGAGCTGCCTTGGCAGAATTCAGCTCTATGAATCACTTCGGAAAATTGGTTGGACTGAATGGCCTTAGGAGGAAAAACGTTTTAATAGGATCCAGGGGAGGTTCTGCTGTTTCAATCTGCTCCTTAAACAGGTGGAGATTGGACCTTCTCAATTATACAAACAGTAAGTACCCATCAGCTGGGAGAGCTGCCCCCCGAATCCTCCCCGCACGCAGCCCTAAACCAGAAGCAGAGCCCGGCTCTGCCTCAGAAACCCGATCATAAATCAACAATTCTGATCTATTAGGATCTCCAAAAGTCTTCCAGCTCTCGGTTTAGTCTCCCCTAGCCTCAGAACCAGAGCCGGCCAGAAATCTGGGGGCGCACCCGGCGGCCCCGAGGCCCCCGAAATCCCGGCGCGCGGCCTGGCTCTACTTGAGGCTTCGGGGTCGTCCTTAGGCGGCAGGAGCTCTCTCCCGACCTCCGACGCCAGCCAAGGCGAGCTCATTGCTTTTGCATAAATTAATATTTCCCCATTAACAAGTTCCCCCCTCCAAACGCGGCGCCCGCGTCCATGCGCCACATCCTAATGAGGTAATTATCATTTGCGCGTGTTCGGGGCTGGCTCAGGTTCCGTGGGTAAATGGCAGTTTATTAGCACGATGCCCAGCTCGGCTGCGGAGGGCTAAGGGACACTTTAGCTACTAGACTGACACCCTGGGGCCCTTTGGGGCGCCGCGTCCGGGACCCTCCTCCCTCCCCGCGTCCCCCAAACCTGCAGGCCTCCAAAGTTGTGAATCACGCACGGAACTCTGCCTAGGTTTGGGTTTGGGTACCCCCCCTTTTCCTTCCACCGGCAAAACCATCACGATTCCTCCCCCTCCCCCTCCTGTCTCTTCCCTCTTTCCCGATTCGCAAACCGCTCGCACTTTCCCGAGGGGAGAGCGGGCGCCAGTTGCCTCCTTTTAAAGTTTGAGGGGCGGTGGTGGCGGCGGCCGGCAGGCGCGGGGGAACACAGGGGCCGCTACGGGAGCCGCGCCGCCGCCCATGTCATTCCACTTCAAGTGACTTCATGTGATGTCAGCTGAATGTAAAAGACAGTGATCTCACGCGGAGGGGAAGATGTTTGCCATCAAAATGTGACAGAAGAGACACTCTGCATGGCTCGGAACGCATCTCCTTGGTGGTGGGGGAAAGAGGTAAATGCGAGGTGGCTCTCCGGTCTTCTTTAACTTTGCCCCTTCACTGTCCAGCTCCCAGCACGCGTGGCAGAGGCCCGGGTCCAGGGAAGGGCTCAGGGGGGTTAATTTGAGACTCTTTTCTCACACCCCCTCCTCCTTTTCTTTTGTAAACCCTCCCCCTTCTTCCCCCTTTGAAAGTCCCAGGGCAGAGGCTGGTGGGTTCTTTTGCGCGCCGGGTTAATGGGCGGTAATTTGGTACCCTTGGGTGCACTTTGTTTTGCCCCTGTTCATTTGAATGCAAATGGGTGACCCGGGCCCGACTAGGTGCTTATTAAATTGCAGTTTTCCCCCCTGCCTTTTCCGGAATGCAGACTTAGAGGAGAGTGGCTGCGCCCTGGCCCAGCCTGGCTCGGCTCGGCTCCGTGCGCCATGGCAAGCTCGGCTTCCCTGGAGACCATGGTGCCCCCGGCCTGCCCGCGCGCCGGAGCGTCGCCGGCCACTTCCAAGACGCTGGCCTTCTCCATCGAGCGCATCATGGCCAAGACGTCGGAGCCCCGCGCGCCCTTTGAGCCCCGGCCTGGAGCGCTCGAGGCGGATGGCAGCCAGGGCAAGAAACTGCTCAACCTCTGCTCGCCGCTCCCCTGTATGATCCCCCTCCAGCCCCTAGGCTACGAGGTCCCGTCAAAGACACTGCTCAGTTACTCGGAGCTCTGGAAAAGCAGCCTCCGGGCGGGCGGCGGCGGCGGAGGAGGCGGCGGCGGCGGTGGCGGCGGCGGCGGCGGCGGCGGCGGCGGGGGGGCCCCAGTGTGCGGCGCCAGCGGCTTGTGCAAAACCAACTGTGGCGTGTGCTGCAAGGCCGAGCTGGGCCTGGCGCCGTCTGCGCTGCCCGCGGGCAGGGTCATCAAGCCGCAGGTCATCAACCAGGCCGTGGGGCTGCCGGCCAGCGGCTCTCTCTACTACTTCAACTACCTGGACTCGACCGCGTACCCGCCGTCTGAGCTCCTCAGCGGCCACCTCTTCCCTTCTGGCCTCCTCAATGCGCAGGCCCCCGCAGCCCTGGCTGCTCACCCCAAGCTCTTTCTGCTGGAGAACGCCAAGCTGGCCGGCCTGGCTGCGGACAAGTTCCCCCATCCGGCTCCCTATCCCCATAAGGAGCGCTTGCCGGCGCCGCTGGAGCAGGTACTGAAGGAGAACTCAGCCCTGACTGCCGAACGCGGAGGCGTCAAGGGCCACAGCAAGCTGCCAGGGGGCTCCGCAGATGGCAAGCCCAAAAACTTCACCTGCGAGGTGTGCGGCAAGGTGAGGCCCAGGGTTCGGGGAGCCGGGAGGGGCTACCGGCGGCGGCGGCGGCTTCCCTGGGGCAGCGTGGAACGCCCCTTCTTCGAGCTGAGGAGCTTCCCAGCAGTTGACTACCCAAATTGGGAGCCTAATTGGGCCTCAGTTTCCTATTCTGTAAAATGGGGATGCCCTTGTCAGCGGCCACACAGTACTGGGGTAAGCAGCAGTTTGGGAAGCACTTTACAAACTGGAAAAGGCTCTGGTTTCTGAAGGGGATGTTGACTGAGGGAGGTAGGCTGTTCCCCTCCCCTCCCCGCCCAGGGCTGATTGAAGGCCCTCGGACAGACGCACCACAAGCCCTCCATGTCTTTCTATAGGTGTTTAATGCTCACTATAACCTCACCCGCCACATGCCGGTCCACACCGGAGCCAGACCGTTCGTGTGCAAAGTCTGCGGCAAAGGCTTTCGCCAGGCCAGCACGCTCTGCAGGCACAAAATTATCCACACCCAGGTACGTGGCCCCCCGGGTCGGGCCCAGCACGCGCGCAACCCCCAGAATCTTAATAACATTGGGGATAGAATGTCCAATGATTAGCCCTTACCCTCTAGGGTTGAGTAGGGGGGGTGCCCCTTCCAGGTGTTCCCGAGGTGGCCTCGCTGAGCCAGGGTCTTGGCCTTACTGTGCGCGCCCCCCTCTCCGCAGGAAAAGCCGCATAAATGCAACCAGTGCGGCAAAGCGTTCAACCGCAGCTCCACGCTCAACACGCATATCCGCATCCACGCGGGCTACAAGCCCTTCGTCTGCGAATTTTGTGGCAAAGGCTTTCACCAAAAAGGTAAAGTGCCGGGCAAGGCCTTCTCCTCACCTCACGTCGGGACCCGGGTCGCGGCTGGCTGGCGGGAAGGCAAAGAGGGATCTGGAGAGAGGAGGCAAAGGCTGCAGGCGCGGGGGAAGCATTTCTTTAGAATCGGGTTGTGCCTGGTGTAGGGGAAAGCTCTCCTAGCGGGGTTAGTAGACCACGCTGTATGCAAGCTGGGTGCACAGAGCGACTCCGAATTCAGGAGGTGGGAGGGATAAGGACACAGAGGGAAAGGATGCAGAGGAAAAAAAAAAAAAAAGAGGATATTGCCCTATAGAAAAAGGTTCCTTTTGTATCCGGGACTCCCCTTTCAAATGAAAAATACTGGAGGCAGAATCACTCCCCGGGGAACAATTTAAGACTGGGGGAAACCGGTATGATCCTTGGCCCCCGGCTGGGATTTTCCAAGGCACTTTTGGATCTCCAGGTGGTAGTTGGGGCACAAGAAGAAAATAACTTTAAAAATGAGAAGGCAAAGAAAAAAAAAAAAAAAAAAAAGGAGGGACGAAGCCCGGGTTCGTGCGAATTTCTTCTAGCGAGGCATCAGCCCGGAGAAGGACTCGGTGCGTCTCTTGGCTGCGCAAAAGTTTCCCGGCCGGCGGAGCGCCGCGGGAGGGATGCTGCACCGGCCTCTGTAGTGGGCAGGGCAGGGGTGCAGAGCGGCTTGGAGGAACTCAGCCTCCGTCTTGTCGGGAGAGCACCCGGCTTGACGCTTACGAAGTTTGACAACTTCTTCACTCGAAGAGGTCGCGCCCGCCTAGCCAAGCGTCGCCTTTTTTGAGCAGGCACCTGGGCTGCCCTGGGATGCCCGCCTCTTCCTCCCCACCATTCTCCATACCCCCACTTTTTTTGTTTTTGATCTGTTGTAGGGAACTACAAGAACCACAAACTGACCCACAGCGGCGAGAAGCAGTACAAATGTACCATCTGCAACAAGGCCTTCCACCAGGTCTACAACCTGACCTTCCATATGCACACCCACAATGACAAGAAGCCTTTCACGTGCGCCACTTGCGGCAAAGGGTTTTGCAGAAACTTTGACTTAAAGAAACATGTGCGCAAACTCCACGACAGCGTGGGCCCTGCTGCCCCCTCCGCAAAGGACCTGACTAGGACAGTGCAGAGCTGAGAGCTACTGCTTTGCCCTTCCTTTCCTCCCTGTACCACCCGAAAACAGATCACACATATAAACTTATTTCTAAAATTAAAAGAAAAAAAAAAAACTATAGCAGAGAGGCTAAAATCTATTTATCAAAACCAGCATATTTTTGGAAAGCTAAACGTTTCCTCGATGACTGGCAGCAAACTCGTGGCCCCCACCTTTGTATATTCAGGAAACTTATTTAAATCCAGGCCTCCGCTTCTCCTGGGGCAGCCAGTTTTAACCCCACCCTGTCACCGTGAGCGCCCCAGAAGATCGCGGCGCCCCTAGCCATCTTTATACAGCCATGTAAATCCTCATGTACAAGCGAACACGGAATATATACATATATAACTCAATAAACAGAATTATTAGTGCTCGTTTTTTTCCCCCCTCTACCCTCGCGGCGAGGTCAGCCCAGCAACCCCAAAGAACAAGAAGGACTTATGTGTTTATAGCATTTCCTTCCTAAATGCAGTAACTTTGGGGCACTGGGGCCAGGGTTAAGGCTAAACCGGTGTTCTTGCTATGCTTGTGTGCTAAGGCCCCCAGGAACGAGGGCGAACAGGCCTACGGCGGCCTACAGGAGGTGCCAAGTTTTTATTTGGTGACTGTTCAGACGCTTGGGATTCTGGGTGTTGCCTTATTTGGGTAAGCAAATTCAAATAAAAGGGTTAAAAGCTACTGGGTGTTGGGGAGCAGCTTTTGGGATTGTCCTTGAGCAAAGCGCCACGCCCTCGAGGGTAAGCGGTCGGTCGACTCAATACCCCACCAGAGCGCTTCTGGGCAAGTCCCCTTCTCCGGGAGACCTAAGGAGGGCAATCACTGCTCCCAATCTCCCTTGGCGGCGAGAACTGGAGGCTGAGGGTCCCCAGCCCAACCAGAGCCTCGGGGCCCACTGGCCTGCGCCCTTGGTCTGGGGCTGGCCTCCGGGTGCCGAGAGCCCTGCCGCGGGAGGGCGCGCCCGGACTCCCCGAGCTCGCTGCCGCCGCCGCCTTCTGGGTCTTGATTACCGCTCCGTTAGTCCATTTCCTGAATAGCTGTCTCTGCCGCCGAGCACGCTGATGAAATGATCTCACGCTTGCTTTCTAAGTAATGACCCAAATTAAGAGAGAAAACAGAGACCCTTCAAACAGCATTACATTAATCATCTAATCATTCCCAGGAGGGGGCCGGCCGCCGCCGCCCCGTTTGATCCGAATCTGGATAATCAAGAGCTCGGATTACTGGCGCGTCGCGCCGGGGCTCCCCCCCCCACCACCACACTTTTAATATCCGCGCGGCGATGCAGCCCACGTCTTTTGGAACAATGTTCCCCAGCGCCAGGAGGAAGTGCGACGCGGGGCCCGGGAGTGCGCTTCCACGCAACCTCCCCATTGAGGGGGCGAGTGTGGCTGGGAGCTGACCCCACGCGGATTTCCAGTGCGGGTGGATACTATTTGAAGGGAAAGATGCTTAATGCAAAGGACACTCCCTCACTCCCGCAAGTAACTCGGAAAGTAACTGGAGTGCGGGTTAGCCCAACACCTGGTATACAGTAGGCGCTCAGTGCTGAGAGTGCCAGTGGTTTCCACAAGCGAAAACCCTGTCATTTCCCGAGGCCTTGCTCCATGCTAGGAACTCAACACACATCCTCTCGAACGGTAACTACAACCCGCAAGCTGGGCATGATTATTCCCACTCTACAGACGGAGAAATAGAGGCAGAGACGAACTATATGAGATGCCTGGGGTCACCAGGCTTGGTAGAGCAGGGATCCGTACTCCGGGCTTTTAGGAGACCTACGCTTCAGTGAAGGAAGAATCTCGGGGTTGAGGTCCGGAGAAAGATTCACTGGGGCAGGGTGGAGGTTCGGTCACGGTCAGCCAACGGTTCTGTCCCCTCCCGCCGCCCAATTCGCAGACCCATTGCGCGGGGAAGGAGAATTGTCGATTTTGTTTGCACAGAGGACGGCGACAGCTTCCTCAGGCTGTCGCGGGGGTATTTTTAGTACCTCCGATTCAGAAATAGGAACGCGTACATTAGAATTCCATTTCCTGAAAGGAGAGCGTCCTCGTTTTTTTGTATTCCTCCCCTCCTCCCCTCAAGTCTAGGAAGACGCAGCCAGGGGAGGGGGAAGAGGAAGCGAGGGGGAATTTAAATGTTAGCTCGTTCTGGCTGCAGTTCGCTGAGGGGAGATTGGGACCCAGAGGAATATGCAGATTTAACTCTGAAATCTCGGTGGATGCCACAAACCCCAGGAAACCCCAGGATGGGCGAGGAGGACTTGGCGGCTAAGGATACGAAAATATCGCCTTGCTTTTCCCAGACATCTATCCCCAGGGAGATTGCAGGCCGGTTTAAGGAGTCAGCATCCTTGCTTTGACCTCAGAGAGTATAATAGTGTTTTATTAGCACCTCCCCGGCATTATGTCTGGGAGATGTTGGGTGTTCTATGACAGTGCCCTGTGACAGCCATCTCAACCAAAATCTTTTCCTTCCTCTGGAGAGGAGCGTTTGCAAATGCGGTTCTTGAAGACCAAACAATGACCTGGGCGAGCCCACCTTTTTCTTAAATAGCTTCCAAAACTTTGGGTGAGGGACAGATACTACAAAATTTCATGCAAAGTCATCCTGTTTTAAAAGTTATGGGAAAAGTTGGCCTGCGCGTGGAAAACAAAGTCGAGTTTTCTTTAAGAAAGATAAATAAAAGAGGGAATGCCGGAATGCCGGACCAGACCAGCACCACCACCTCCCAGGGAAATAAATTCCTAACCATCAAGTGAGAGAACATTCTTTGAGAAAGTCCGTAATAAGTTTTCATGGAGAGAGACTCAAAGGGTCCTCCATCTCAGAAAACTGGAGAAATTTGCTTCCAGGCTTACAATTCTGAAGAGGGGTGGGGGCGTGCTTGCTTGCAAACTAGGCAGCAAATAATATAAAACTCATGCGTAGAGGTGGAGGCATTTCTCTCATGGACCGCTCATCTCTGCAGTGGCGGGGGAAGGAACATTAACTGTAGCTCGGGGGTAAAACTTAGTAGTTTCTTGCACGCTTCAATATCCTTGAGGTTGTTTCCTCATAATATGATTGTTATTTAACCTTCTCACCAGCTTCTGTCATTTCCTTTCACCTGAGAAGGTGTTGTTTCACATCTGACTGTAATTGTAGATAAACAGAGTTCTCTGTATCTATGGGGCTCGGTTCTACTTTCCGCAAGTTTGAAGTCACTCCCAGGTTTAAGATGTCAGCTTCCTTCAGGTGTGGGATTCAGGAAAGGATTCCTTCACCTGAAGAGTAGTGCGAGAAGAGGAACCTTCTGCCTGAATTACAAAACACCTTTCGCAGCCAGCACATGTTCTAAAGCCAACCCTAAGCCCTTTCAGTAACCATCTTAGCTATTCATCCTTCTTAGTTACTCACCGTGCATCGGAATTGATGGGTGAAAGGCTCTGTTTTCTGATTTTCCCCCTCTTCATGTTAAACTGTTTACATGACTTGTAGTTTACAATATTAATAAATGACTTCAACAAGGTAGTCATCAGCTGCATATTAATATTCTAACCTTGATTAGATTGAAGAGGCTGCCCTTAAAAAATATTTTTAAAAAAATCAAATTGCGGGGGAGGGGAATCCTGTCACAGACACAAAAAAGACTCCAATTATCTTTTCCCCTACAAGATGTTTGTTCTGTCCATGACTGCTCACACTTCAGCAATCTTGCCAGCAAGACTCAAAAAAAAAAAAAAAAAAAAAAAAAAAAAAAAAAAAACCTTCTTCCAAAGCCACAGCCTTGTACATAACAGATTGTACAGTCCTATTGCCTTAGGCGGGTTAGAGGTTCCTCTCTGCAAAGAGTGACACAGAAAAGTTGCCAACATCCCAGACACATTTTGGGGGGCACTGTGCTCGTTCTTGCCTTAGCCGCAGAGGTGATCTAGATGGTCCCCATTTTGGTATTTGGCTCACAAGCGAATAGGGGGCTGCTTGAGCCAGGCCCAAGAGTTACAGCAGTAAGGCGTCCAGGTGTGCTGGTAGTGAGTGGGCCAGGGGAGGGAAAGAGGTGATAAGAGGGAGGGCGGGGAGGGGGGCTGCCAAAGAGAGGACAGGAGTCTTGAGAAAATGCTGGGAAATAAACAACCTCAAGGCAGCTGCGTTGCCCTTTTCCCTGCACTTCCCTCTCAAACGTCTGAGCAACCAGTTTGCTCCTAGAAACATGTTAATTGCCAACGGAGCTCATTAAGGCATGCACATGCAAAACACAGCAAGAAAGATTAAATGGACAAAAGCGCAATAATGAACTGTCAACAATCGGGCCCATCTACGCGACCAGGATCACTCAAGAATGAGGCATTTAGAGGCAACAAAGGATTGTCTGGGACAGGAAGAAAAGACGACCTAGACTTTTGTTTAGTCAACACAATTGATTACAAATGAGAGATTAACAGGATAGCTTCAGATTTTTTTTAAAAGAGGCAGAAAAGAAAAGTCCAATTAAGTCCACCGAATGTTAACTACATTGCGTTCCATGCCTAGCCCCAAAGAAATTCTCATTAAACCATCCCTGGCGATCCCTTTTGGAAAGTAATTTGTCTCCCTGATGGAGCAGAGAAAGAGAATCGTGTAAAAGAAAGCGTTAGTTCTTGGCACAATGAGCTTAGGAGACACACTAGAAAGAGCCAAAGGGGGAGTTAATGAGCATCTGACAAACTGCTTGGATTCAGGCCTAGAGAACAGCGATGAAAAGATGAAATTGGCCAACAACTATTCTTTATATCAAACATAAAAAGGCCAATCTGAAATGGGGCTGCTCAAAACTGGTTGAAAGTACATAGCCCAAGAAAAGGGAACCACGGCCAGGCCCCTTGGTGGACAGTGGACAGATAGTGTGAAGAACTCAACAGGCCAAGAGTTAGGAAATCAGCAGAAGGGTAGACTGAGTCTCCCAGGCAGAGCAAACTCCAGCCACCAGCCCCAGGCCTTAGGAGGTGCTGATTTGAAGCTCTTGTTGCCCATCCCCCACCCTCTGGATGTTTCATGAGTGAAAAATGAATGTATCAGGCTAGCATTCGAGGGTTCCCCAAAAGTTCTGATAATTTGGTAATTAGCTGCTGGCATCAGCAAGCCACCCCCCTCTCTTTTAGATCCATAGGCCTCCCAAGGGCACCATATGTTACCAGCTCACATTCAGTTTTTCTACCCTCCTTTGTCCTAGTGACCATTCAAAACCCTCACCCTTAGGTGATTGCCTTCCTAATTCTGCATGGAGCAGAGATGGCAAGGAAATGAAGACATGGAGCCTCCCATGGCTTTGTGGAATAGGTCATAAAGCATTTAAATTATTTCTTACAGTTGCTCCTCTGGCTTTAAGAAACTACTTCATTTTAATGTTTCCT